ATTTGGGTGAATCATCGCAAGCTACAAAGGTTTTACTGCACACAAAAACTAGACTAATAGAAAAAAAATGTCTTATTTCTAGCAATCTTAATATTTTAAAATTATTATTTTAATCATATATGAAAATCTATGTTTAGTTCTCACTTTCCATCTAAATCAATTCTCTCGGTTCTATAGATAGGAAAAAGAATTAAAACCAAATAATATCATATAATATGTTAAATAGAGATTCAGTGCAAAGACAATCAATAAGCATTACATGCTTCACATGGTTAGGATAAAATCATCTAATGAGAACCTAACCTAATATGACTAGTCACTCATTCTAAAGGGATTCACGACTGTTACACTAGAAAGAGAAATAAAGAATTTATAAATGATTATGAATGATTTTCTATTAATAACCTTCATTTTCCCTTCTCCTTAGCTCCAATATATGCCTTTGCCTCTTTAAAATTCAGTCCTGGTACCAAAATTGTGTAAAATTTTAAACATCTAAAACCATTGTCTAAATTCTCATTAAATAGACATTGTAATGAACTTTTTGGGTTTTAAAGAATATCCAATTTTTACTAATTAGCATTGTAATAACGTCAAATTTCTACTTATTATTTTCCATCCTTTTATATTCTAAATTAGAATTGGACTTATTCATGAAAGTTGTAGCCCTATAAATTAGCTTTATCTTTTGCTTGTTTCACCTTAATCAAAATTATGAAACTCCATATATGATGAAAATATTAAAATGGGCTAAATAAGTGCATCACATAGCTACACATCTATTTTGCAATTTGGTGACTTGGAAATTTGATATCGTAGAAATCGTGTCACTCCGTGTTGGAAAGCACCACAATTTTGGTTGGGAGAGTCTCGTATTAGCGCCGCTATGCTTTGGAAGCACCAATTTAGTTCTTTGTGCTTCAATAGCATCATAATGAGGTTGGTGTTGACATACATCTATTGACTAGACTATCTCTTCCTTTTTTTCTTTGTTTTCCTTTTGTTCCTCATGTGTTATTCTTCGCCTAGCTTTATCGTCATAACATTTACATTAAAATACTATGAAATTTGTATGATTAATATGATTTCAATTTGGGTTGGTCTTTTTCGTGAATCTTCAGAATCTCTATTAAAAATCTATAAAACAAAAATGAATTAGTTATAAAAAGTTATTAAATTTAAAGGAATTAACTACTAAAAACATCACATGACAAAATTTCATCACATGACCCAGTGTAGATTAAATAAATCATTTAATCAGATAAAAGGCACTGAGAAAGTTGTACAAAATCTCATTAGAGAAGGCTTCATATCAAATGGGAGGTATATCACATGCTTGTTAAATTTCATAATTGTAATAAAGTCAAGCAACAAATGAAGAATGTGTGTTGATTATTTTGACCTCAACATGAAATGTCACAAAGATGTTTACTCAAATTTTGTTCTTAGGATGTTAGAGCAGATGCCTCAGGCAACGTGAACAAATGTTTATGACAAATAACAGATTATGGGGACAAATGTCAGACACGATATTTGAGACATTATATACCAGAATAAAAACCAGTTTTAAGTTACCGAGTTTTGATAATTTAGCTTATAAAGATGATGAAGAAGAAAAGCAATAAATAATACAAGTAATTGGTAACCCAGTACGTTGAAACCACACATACGTATGAGGAGCACTCTACCCAAGAAAGGAAATTCACCACTTCAAATTAGTACACTTAGTCTTCTATGAACATAAACCCTATGATGTTCAATGCCTATTCCTGATCCTAATGACTTTCGTTTTAAGATTCCCCCTAAATATGAGAACCCCTATCACTTTCTCTCGATCATTAATCCCTAGTGGTCAACTTCAATAACAACTCTATTGATTGTTGAATTTACAGCTCAACTAAGACAAACCAACAACTATGCCAAGTTATTGAAACATAGAGTGGTGTACACAAACAAATTCAAAACTAATACAACATTAGTATGGAATACAAGAAACAAAAACACTTTGTTCTCAAGCTTATATAATTAATATCTTGAAACAAACCTTTACAACTTAACTAACAAACCAAACTATATGCCTTAAGATATGAAAGGATACGCTAGAGTTTTGCATAAAAATGACCCAAAAATAGAAACCCTAATACTAAGAGCCTTTAAAAAGTGCACCCATCAAACTCTAGGTTTGTGTTCTCTTAAATATAAATGCTTCTTCTAAACTTTTTCCAATGGGCATTTCATTTGATTTTATCCATAATAAATGCATATATTATTGAATATGATTTGTTCGATAAAAATCTCCAACAAAAGATATTGTTAAATTAATTTGATCTTTAACAGTTGTCAAAAAAAATCAAACAAATGTATTTCTAAAATACAACAACAAATTTGATTGAAATTCAATCAGAAATTTTGCACCAAAAACGCAACATTGCCCTGTTGAGTCAATGCTAGATGTTTCCCACATGTTAGAACACTGTGTTCCACACGTGTTCCTTCTTCACTACAACTATAATAATATTTGTTTGTTAACAGAGACCAGATGTTGCAGCACACATGTTGGAACATCGTGTTCCACATGTTGCACCAGAACATCCAAAATAACTATCTTCATATAAGTCTTATTTGGAGAGTAAATCTTGGACCAAATCTTCTTTCAAGGTATATCCAAATAAATCTTCTTTGACTGAAACAAATCGAAATCTTTTCAAATAGGTTTTGGACTAACAACTTTAACTTCTTCCCAAAAGCAAACCTCTGCATCTTCTGAAGAATTCAACCTCACAACTCTTCTGAAGGACATCTGAAGATAGTCATAACCCAAACCTTATGCCAAGATGATACATAATTGCACCTTTGAGCCTCTTGCTTAGTCAGAACCCATAACTCTTTGAAGTACATATGTTATTTTACCTAATGCATCCAACCAAAAGGAACCACATTTACCTTTTATCTGGCACCATCAAGCTAATAGGTAAATCATTTAGATTCAAGCTCTTATCTTTCATGGATGCATATTCAAGATACAACTATATACTAATTGAACCTAAGGACTATGCATAAATGGATTTGAGGATCAATATAAGACGTTTTAACTACAAAAAATGTCCATAGGACTAAAAAATGCAGAAGCAATTTATTCATGAATGATGAACAAAGCTTTCAAAGACCAAATTAGAGACGTGTTGGAAGTATACATGGATGACATGATAATGAAATCCACTAATTAAAATTCCCATACTGTATTCAATTCTTCGACTAAATTTATTCAATTTTATTTCTCTTTCTTATTATGTTCTACGACTTTCTACAATCCCTTCGAAGCACTCTTCTTCTTGATTCTTCAATTTCCGTACCTCATATTGATATTTGTTGAAAGACTTCACCATTTTGCCCTTGCATTTCCCAAGGTTTTTACCCTAAGAATAAGAGATGAAATAGCTGTCAACCATGTGATGGATCATCATGCGGGACAACATTCACATTGAGTCAAACATTCACCTAAATGTCAAAGACTCACCCAAATAAGTGAGAGAGACACCACATATTCACCAAAAATCTTAAGGTGATAGACGTATGAGTCATCTTACTTATAAAGTGCTCAACTACCAGCTCCACATTTCTAAGCAATATGAGACTTAGAACTCACATTTGTTTCTCAACACAACTCACACTTGTTACTCAATAATCTCCCCCCTCAAGTGTAAGTCCAGCCACTATGTTTTCCCTCAAGCGAAAGCTTTTTCATCCACATGCTTGTACCGTTGTTGAGAGCTGTTGAAAGACACCCTTATCTCGTCATGGAACTTCAACAGAATATGTCGTCTGACCACCATGTCAAGAAGACTTTCGACACAAGAAGACAAATCCTTTACTCGAACCAGACTCTGATACCACTGATGGGTCATCATGAGGGGGAAGCATACACATTGGGTCAAACACTCACCTCAAGGTCAAAGACTCACCTAAATAAGTGAGAGAGACGTCACATATTCACCCAAAACCTTAAGATGATAGGTGTATGAGTCCTTTTACTTATAAAGTGTTCAACCTCTACTTTTCTAAGTAAGTGAGACTTAGAACTCACACTTATTTTTCAACACAACTCACATTTATTTCTCAATAATAAAAACGTAGTTCAATTTAGATACAAGAACTTTACTATATAAAATTCTAGAACCATGAACCCTAAAAATCTACTATAGAGAATATATCTGACAATTAAGTTTTACATACACAATATTCTAAACTTCACACTCGTGGTTGTCACTGACGTGATCTTTATAATGTTTAAAGGTACACCCTCTATCTCAAACAAATTTAGAAAGTCGCTTCTTAAACATGTCATTAGATCTCTCATTGTTAAAATAAATTGAAGAAAAGGTCTTATCAGATGAACATCTGTTGCACTCAGAGAAATTCATTTAGTATTCTAAATGCTGTTATAACTTAGAATATATCTTATACACAAATCAAAATAATGACTTTGAAAGAAGTTTCTAGCATTAAAAAGACATAAATAAGAACTCTATGACACATAAATTTCCACCCTTGCTTGCATATCAAGATTAAAAGTTGTGAGGTTTTTGAATATCATAGTGATTATAGAAAATAAAATAGCAAAATTTATAATTAATATCATATCCTTAAAGAAATCGTTCGATAGTTAATTTAAAAAGGGAAATCAACATAAAAAGTACTAACCTTGGAAAGTAATTAGTACCGCATAAACTACCACTTGTAATAATTTTATTGAATGGCTATTAGAGAATTGTACGATCATACAAGACAAGAGACACACGTTTTGTGTTTTGTCTACAAGCTCAATTCCAACATAATTAATAAAAGCACACATGTACCCTTCCAATACCTTTATTGTCCCTATTATAAAATTTTCCCAACAATCTTTATTTCCAATACCCTCATTCCCCAATGTATGAAACACTAATCTCATACAAATCATTCTAATATAACTAATTATCTCATAAATATATAAGTAACCATTAGGAGGAACCAATTTCATGAAGTAATCCATAAGACAAAGCCATAAGAAGAATAGCAGCCTCTTTCTCATCTTGAGGAAAAACTTGATGAGAAGCAATGTTGTTACTTAAGCTTGTTATCAAATCTTCAAAACTAGTGCACTTGTTTCCAATTTTACCCTTCCTTTTCAACTGTGGTGGTGCACACTCCTTAGTTTTTGACCTTTTCCTTTTGGTTTGCAACTTGTTTCCTTTCACATAGGGTTTCTCAGCAGCCACATGAACCTCACCATTTGCAGATGCAGCTGCTGCCAGTGCGCGCCGAGCTTTCCTTTGTCGAATCCCGCAGGCATTGCAGAGAGACTGTTACATTACAACAACATACGTTTGTATTTTTTTTCAATGGTTAGTTTAAAACCCTAATTACATAATTGAAAATTTCATATTAATACGTTTGTAGAAGAATGAATCGGTGAGCATGTACCTTAGGACCTGCTGGTCCACCTCTCCAGAGAGGGGTCTTAGTGGTGTGGCAATCACTACAAACCCTAACAATCATATTACTGTTGTTTGAGCCGTTGTTGTTGCTACTATTATCGGTTTCTACACTTGATAATACTTTTTCTTTTTCAAATTTGTGCTCAGAAACCCATTGATTTTCCATCATTCTCTTAACTATTCTCTTCTTCGATGGCATCAACTTCATTGAGCTATTATCTTCGGCTTCAAATTCTTCATTCCTACTTTCTTTCTTTAGTTCTTGATAATCACATGATCCACTAGAAGGAACAAACTTCACTACCTGAAATATAAATTTCTACATAATAAAAATTTACATAACTTTGTATATGCACAATTTTGTACTATATTATGCATGTGTAATTACCTTTACACCACTTTGTATGTAATTTGGTTCACAAGAATAAGAGCTTCCTTGATCTTGGTTTTGGTTGAAAAGTGTGGAATATGATAGAGAAGAAGATGAAGAAGAGTATTGATGAATATTTGTATTGAAGAGATTGTGAAGGTGATTGTGATCTTCATTGTTATTAAGATCAAAAGACATAGGAGGAGAAGATAGTGAATAAGGATAAGTTGGTGTCATGGACATGTACACATAAAACAGCACACAAACCAATATATATATATATATATATATATATATATATATAGAGAGAGAGAGAGAGAGAGAGAGAGAGAGAGAGAGAGAGAGAGAGAGAGAGAGAGAGAGAGAGAGAGAGAGAGAGAAAGAGAGACAAATGTGTGACTGTAGACTGTGCAATGGATCAGTATATAGCAGCAACGGTCTATACCTTTTGTTCAGTAAATAAATTAAGGTTGAAAAGAAGGGTTGCCATAGAATATCAAAGGTCCGTTACATTAAATCACAAATCACTAACTAAAGTCGATAGTGTTAGCTAGATTGAACGTCATCATCGGGGTTTGAATTCTGTTACTAACGATTATGTATGTGCGTAAATTTCTGATGGTTATTAATCGTAGAGATAAGAAGAATGGTTGATTTTTAAATACTCATCTACTTGAACCTGCATTATTAAAGTGGTCCTCCTTAAAACTTACAACAACAAAAAAAGTTATGTAAAAAGAGAGATTACAGACTAATAACAGACATATAAGACATTTACTATTTACATGATTTCTTTCGAGACATCTAAAGAAGACAAATTAAAAGGACAAAATGATTCAGGAGAGTGTGGAATGCTACTACTCAGGTCCCATACGTATGAACAAAATACTATTTGTAAATAGATATTTTAACCACACTGACAGCATGACACTACATTTTGCATAGTAGTTTTATAAATAAAATAAAATTCTAATAGTTGCTAATTGAAGTTAAAAAAAAGGTGAAAGAGATAGAATTTGATCGTAGCCACATATGACAAAGATAATGTACTCACATCTCAAACCAATAATTTTGTCACTAGAATAGTCTTGTTTCATAACCTAGAAGATTGGCGCAACCATACACCAACTAGGAAAAAATATCTTGGTCATGGAAGTCAATCGAGAAACGGGAAACAACAGACCAATCAGGCATTGGAGAGAGACACTATCTAACATAAAGAAGTAGGAGAGCACGACCCTCATTCAAGATTTGATGCTTACACTCCCCTGAATACTTTTGGGGAGAAAATTTAGAAGGACTACGCAAATGCAAAATTCATGGAAGGCGGGACCGAAAATCCAAAATCCGGTTAGGGAATTTTCTCGGACAAATAAATCTAAATAGTCCCGTTTTCATAAGAGTTACGATCATAACACAAACATTGCATCCGACTGAAACATGCAATAGATGGACTACACAAAAGGGGGCAGTTGACGTAGTACACCAGATATAATAAAAGAGACAGGAAAGATTCACCGAAAAAGAAGTGCTCCCGTCGTAAAGAGTAATCGCCTAAGAAAACCTTCGAATTTGTTTCCAAAACTAAAGGGAAGGATGCCAATAGGGATGAAGAAGAATGAGATAAAAGGAAGTGTCAATAGATCTCTTCTATAACTGGTGGTGCTCCCAAGAGAAAGGAATCCCTCTACTACAACATTTTGAATATACAGCAACACAAAAAACCGTTGCAAAATTCAAAAACGCCGTTGCCTTTACATATGAGAACGGTTTTCAGGACGTTCTAAACTAAGGTGTTGTTTTAGCCTTTAGGAACGGTTATTTAGCCAACGGCAACGCCTTGTTCACAGCCGTTGCTGTAATTTTTTATAGAGAACGGTCTAGAATAGCAACGGCTGGACTCCGTTTTCAAATTTAAACCGTTGCAATTGTTGTTAATTAGAAAACGGCTATTTTATGGAATATAGCAACGTATCTTAGCCGTAGCCTATTCTAAACCGTTTTAATAGATGCTTAAGTTCATTTTTTCTTCATAGGTTATAGCAACACCTTCTTTACTACAGACACACTTTATAACGGTTGCAAAAAAATTATTTTATTTTATAAACCAAATAAATTTATTTATTTTTTGATAAAATAATATTTTATTTTATTTTATAAACTTGATAATAACATCATTCACAATTTTTTTATATAATAATATTCAAATACAAATTTTAAAATGATCTTGCATTTAAAAAAAATATATGACATAATCCATTTAAATATCATAATGTCAATCATTGGTTCACAATCAACAAAACATCTTCAAATTGCATATCGTAATGTCAACAAAACATCTTCAAATTACATATCCCAATCTCAATCATCATTCATAGTCAAAATAACATCTTTAATCTATAAAATTAAACTTAAACATCTACATCTCTACATCTACGTTTCTTCATCTTCAAATTAAAAATCTTCATTGATATTATCATTCATGACATGCAAAATAAAAATAATATAACTTAAATAAGATTATTATTCGAAGGATCTAAAATAAAATAATCCACTCCAAGTAAATAATCCACATATATAATGCATAAGCAACACATACACAAGTATTCACATGGTCACATATAAAATCCCCTTAAAACATACAAAATCCCTTAAAATATAGGAATGTAACAAATCTTATTTGATCATTAGTTGGAGCATGTGTTGATGTAGAAGAACGTAAGACACTGTTAGCATTAGTTGCAAGAGTTGATATCAAAGCTGTCAAAGCCTCTATATTCAACTCAGAGGTATTTTGATTCAAAACAGTTTTAAGAAGCTGAATTTTCCTATCAGTTTCTTCTTTATCTTGACGATGTTTTTCTTCCATAACCTGTCATTAAATTGTCTAACTTCAGCAGCATGCTCTCTTTTAATTTTTGCAATTTCTTCGTTTCTTTTCAAGAGAGTCGGTGTTGTGGTTCTTCCGTGGCAACGCAATCTCCTAGGTCTTTGTTTGCCCAATACACTTTCAAAAGCTTCTGAAGAAGGTTTTCCATTATTTTCAATCAAGTCTTGAAGCTTTATCTAACATACATAATATAATAGTAGTAAATAAAAGGCAAAGGACAAAAAAATCAAAATATCTACCTGTTCATTAACTATTATCACATGTTTTATGAATAATTTCAATTTTCATCAATATATGTATAATGATAATGGTTATTGTGGAAATGTATCCATCTATGTTGCTGACAGGTAGAAAATTGGACAATTGTCATTTGAACATTACTCATAATATATACTAGTCTGATCCACTTCTAACTAGAACTCCTAACAGAAATAACACTTAACAATAATAACTTACAATTGCATGGTTGGTTTCTTGATCCAACTCCTTTCCTTTCCTACTTTGTCGAGTAGCAATGAACATTTCAGCTTGAGTCGGAGGTTCTTTATCTTTATTATTTTCACGCTAAACCAAGTAAAACAAGAGTATGAGATTATTAATAAAATAACACAATTTAATATTCAATTAAAATATAATTTAAAAAATAATACCATTTTTTCTCTTATAACAGCAAAACATTTATTCCCCATTCGATGTCTCCATTTCAGTTGAGCTATATTTTCGGCATTTTGATGATCGACTTCCTACATTTTCATGCATTGATGCTAGCAAGTCAAGACTATGACAGTCTATACATACACATACGTATCCATACACACACATATCCAACACTTAGAATCCATACATACACATTTGCAATATACAAACCAACCATCCAATTTCATTCATATCACTCATCATCCAAACCAAAATAGGTCCTTTGACAAAGCTTATAAGTTGTCCTAAAATTCAAGATTTAATCCAAGTCAAAGACATGTTCATAATTCATACAACAGTACTTATTAATATTTTAACTAACAGTACTTATTAATATGTTAACTAACACTACAACATAACTAATCAATTAGGACTTCCATTAAGAAGTTTCATAATACCTACTAACTGATTCAATTAACTAACAGTTCCATTAGTCAAACTAATTACCATAACTAATCAATTAACATAATCTCTAACTCCTACATACTATCTACCAGTTCAATTAACACAATTAGCTAATTCCAAAACTCACTAACAGTCAACATTCAAACTAAGACCATTACAACACATATGTAGACTTACTAGAGTTTTGTCATCTTTCCAATACTCCAATAACTTTCTAAAATCTTCTTCTGGTACCTCTTGTGGATGATTTTTTAGCTGCTCGCGCAAGGTTTTATACTTACTAAAATGCTTCCTTTTAAGCGAGCATTTGTATCGTCTCCAAGCATCATTTGTAATAGCAAATACAACCTTCTTTCCTTCCTTTGGGATATTGTATTTTTCCTGCAAAAATATATATTTAGAACAATATATACATTAAAGTATGTTAAAAAAACACAAAATCAAATAAAAAACTAATTACATTGACATAATCCCACACGGGATCCAAATTGTGTTCCTCCCAATGCTTAAAAGATCAGGTCAGGTCAGTAAATACATAAATACAGTGATACATTGCAAGGATACTTAATTCTTAAAGCATGGCCTATGTTTATCAATAATAATAAGGTCCTGTTACATTACATGCAACTGACAGATGCAGTTAATTCGAGAGAAACCATCAAACCTAGTAGTTTCCTTTAGGGAAGCTTGCACCTACAGTCCTACACTATCACCTTAGATCTTAAGGAGGTGATTGGAACTTGATTAACTTTTAAGCCCTCCTCATCCCAAAATAAACCAAATAAGAAACAAAATGTGATGAATTAAAATGCAACATACATGACATTATGGCTAATAAATTCATGCAAGGTCAAGCAAGGTCACTTAGAATGACTTAAAAGAAAACGAGTTCACATACCATATGTCTCGATGCTGTCAAAAAGCTTTACTGCACCATTTTTTACTATACTGATATAAGTGTCGATATAAAGGTATTTTGGCAAGATGTATTTAAAAGATAGATAAGTATGTCAACCACATGCAGCAACAACACCATTGAGTTTAACTGTAGATTCACAGTTCACAATATAGCCATAACATACAGCACATAATACAATTCTGCACCCGATATTGAATTATTATTCAACTATAGGAGCTTTATAATAGCAAAGAAACAACTAAAAAGTTCCAGAACTATACCTTATTATGATCAATTTCAGAAAATGCAAGTGAAATCACTCCAGCAAGTGCTTCAAAAGCTAATCCTATGAAA